TGCCAGTTGAGTCAGTGAGGAGCAGGTAATTTGGGGAGCCCTCTCGAGGCAAAGGGATCATGGGAATGTGCTGGAGCTCATCCCTCCCGCAGTCTGAGCTCCCAAAATCTGGGGTAGGGTTAGGCTGAGCCGCAGGGTGGGCAGGCAGGGGCTCCTTCCTCCTGGAACATGCAATAGCTGGGAATCCTTTCTGATCTGCAGACTGACAGGGGACACAATAGGGGAATAAGCATCTGGTTTGGGGGTTTCTTTCTGGTTTTGGGGTGGGGGAAGATTAGGGAATCACTGAAATGAACAGAAGCGGCTTCCCTTATAACATTCTGATTTTTTTGTGCTATTTCAGTGAAGATCACACTAGTCAGGGGTACAAAAGTGCAGGAAAGATGCTGCTCACTGGTGTGACCAGGAGCGCTGCAAACACTGGGCTGCAGAGTTTCCTGTCTGCAAACAGAGTCCATTCTGCTGCTTGAAGAATTGGGCTGGTCTGTGCAAGATTTGAAGTTGCCTCTGACCTTTTCTGTAACATGTTCTTTCAAGAAACTGATTTTGTAGCCCTGCATGTACAGTAACAGCATTAAGGCTTTACTCTGTGTAAAGCACACGGGAATTTTATTTAATGACTGCCATGTTTCTAATTTCTTGGTTGTATTACTGGTGGGAGCTCCCAACAGCATCCTGGGACATTAAATGCTGCTGATCACTGACCATGTTTTCTGCAGTGCCTTTAAGTGCATTTCTCTGACACCTGCACCTCCCTCGGTGACACCAGGCTGATGTAGCTTTGCTCATGTTTTTTGGCATCCCCAAGTTCCACCTCCTCAGAGGAAGAGGGGGAATCTCTTCATCCTGTGAGGTGACTCCTCCAGCAGCAGCTCTGAGGTGCTGGAGTGCCAAGAGCCCTCCCTGCCGTGCACTTCCATGGCTGTAGTTCAGTGTCTGACCCCTCCCATCTCCAGGTTTAGTTATTTTTAACATGTAGGAATAAAGCTGAAATTAATTTATGTAATTTTTAGTGACAAAACACAGCTTTTCTAGAGGCATCATTTCCATGAAATCAAGCTCAGAGTTAGTCCTGCTACAGCCACTTTTCCTTGCCTTACGAGTTATTTTTGCTTGCTCAGGCTGCAAAGTGCTTTGGGTTTCTTTTCTGGGTATTTAAGACTCTTTTGAACACCTGAACGTGTTGTATTTGGCCCCAAACGGGGCTGGGGAGGATGATGTGCCTGCATGGCTGTTCATACACTGCATGAGCACATGAAGAGTCGGGACATGTCCCTGTTGCTGCCTCAGGTGGGACCCTGGATCCGAGCGGGACGCGATGCCCGAGGCACGGCCACCCCACAGGGCTGGGGGGATGTGGGGGGTGCCAGCTGCCCCCACCACTTCAGTCAGCTCCTCTCCCATCTTTGGTTTGTAAAGTTCAGGGGGCTGAGATGCATCTTCCCTGCAGCAGGATCTTCCCTCTTCCCTTGGTTTTCACTCTTTCTCTGTCAGCAGCTCCCTGGTTCCCTGGGCTGGTGCTGCTGGGAGTTCCCTCGAGGCTCTGGATCTCCAGGGCCTGCTCTTGCAGTTTCCTTGTTTCTTGTGCTCACCTGATTAAATAAAGTTATTACCAAATTTTTTTTTCTATTCATTTTTAACTCTTTATTGAAAATAAGTTGCAGTTGGTTACACGGACACCGAAAATACAGAATCACAGATTGTTCTCTGAAAAGATATTTTTATATATATAATATATACAAAATTGTAAACATTTTAAACTTATTTCCATACACAGTCCACTTTATACTACACTGCACAGAGGTTAAGTGACAACTGCAACTCCTGGAAGCGTCTGCTCGGACAGAGGTATCTGCAAAGAAACTGAACTTCCCAAACCACAGTTGGGAGCTGTTGGAGATTAAAACTCTTAAAGGATCTGAGGTTTAAATGTGTATTGCAACAAAATCCAGGCAGCTGAACTTGGGTTTCAAGTCGAGACAGTGAAGGCTGTTTCTGAGCCTCACTGGGGTGGGAGAGGCTCTCGTGACACACAGAGGGTCAAAATGCAGCTGAGAATGGGACAAGGGGGGACCAGAGCGGGACCAGAGCCACCTGCTTGGGGACAGCACGGGCTGAGAGGAGTCTATGAATATGTACAGCAGCTTTCACTGAGAGAAATGGCCATTCCACAAAATAATGATGGGATTTGCTATGGAACAGACGGTGAGCAGGGTTAGTGGGAGCTCAGAGCAGCTCAGGAGCAGCACTGTGCCGTTCTGAGGGGCTGGTGATGGGCAGGGGAGGGTACAAAGTACCCTGTAAGGAACTGATGGACAGCAGGAAAGAAATGCTGGGGTGTCACTTGCTGTTGTGGCAGGAACTGATCCCACAGTGTCCAGGCACAGCTGGTTGGCGTGGCATAAAGGGAGGGATCTGCTCTTGGGGTCTGCTCCAGCCCCCTGAGACACAGAAGCAGGTAATGGGGGGGATATTTTTACTAAATATCACTTAAGCAAAGCTTCCACCTTGCTAGGAACAGCTTAAAATGCTGACAAAAACTCCAATTCTTTCAAATCTTTTAATATGCTTTAAATAAATTGCAAACCCCACGAGGTGGTTACCCCAGTGCTGGGAAACACCCGCGTTGTCCCGGCAGAGCCTCCTGGAGCAGGGGAGTTGGGCAGCACTCAGCATGGGATTGCTGGAATTCTGCTCTTTACACCCAAATTCAGTGCTAACAGAAGGTTTTGGACTGAGCTGAGCACAGCAGAGTCCTGCCCTCTGCGAGCTTGAGGTGCTGGGGGGTCCCGAGCTCTGAGGAGAACAGAGGGGCATAAACGGCTTGTGAGGATGGCACAGCCCTGGCATGCTCAGGACAGTCCTGGCGTGGTTTTGGGACAGCCTTGGCATGCTCAGGAAAGTCCTGGCACGTTTTTAGGATGTGGTCTGGGTAGTTATGAGGGAACAAGTGCTGTTGTACCACATCAAATGGGCTGGGAGAAAAAACTGGGGAGAAAGAAGGTGGAAATGGATGTTACAAATACTTGAACCCCCAGTACAGCAGTTCCTGCTCCCATGGCTCCAGTTCTCTAACCATGGGTCTCTTGGGCTGTATTTATTCCAGCCCCACCTGCACACTCTGATCTGCCCAAGGGGTCATGGACACACTGAGGTGTGACAGCACCTCGGGCACCGCAGGGTGACACCGAGCAGCTCATGGGGACACTGGGGGGGCTCACAGAGGATTCCAGGCAGGATTCCAGGCACAGGGTGTCAGTGGCCAGGCTGTGGGGTTGTGTCTCACCCCGCCTCTGAGCATGTTTGGATTCAGCTGGGTGGAGGCTGCTGTGGGGTTGGGGAGCTGCACGTGGGGCCTTCGGCAACAGCCCCCCCAGCCAACCCAAAAAGGGGTGTGTTTGGGTCGGGCTGAGGTGGGTCAATGCTCCTTTCAAGGCTGGCATATCTTGGCTGCTATGGGGCCACCTGACTTTTGGGTTGTCCCCTCCTGCCTCAGCGTGGCCACATCCTACATAAACCCATCACTGTTCCCTGGGAAAAAGTCCCAGCTATGGGTGTCCTGCCTGTCCGAGCTGCCCATCCCAGTGCCACCCCAGCAGGGACAGGCTCCCCTCCCTGACAGGGACCGGCATTTTGGGTGCAGAGGGATCAGGGTTAACCTCCCCTGAGGTGCCTGTTGATGTGGCTGGACATGTTATTCTCTGCTCTGGTTTAATCAAGGAACAATCTGTCCTGCCTTCCTGCTGCCAGGAAGCCTCTCGGGTGCCCAAGCCCTTTCTCCTCCTCCTCCTTCTCCTCCTCCTCCTCCTCCTCCTCCTCTCCTGCCCAGCAGAGCAGCCAAGTGCTGCCTGCAAGGTGAAGGTAACACTGATTTTTAAGAGGTGGAACAAGCTGCTGACCTCGAGAAGAACCAGGTGCCTCAGCCGGGGGCTGGAGCTGTGCCGGCGGCATTCCCATGTCATTCCCTGACTCCCGAGGTCAGTCCTGGCACTGAGCGTGGTGGGATGTGCGTGTGGGGCAAAGAAAGGCAATGCAGGCCTCGGGGGGACATTCAGAGCGTGTAATATTCAGCATGGGGGGTACAGGGGGCAGGACACGTCCCGCAGGCAGACACAGCTTTAGCTCTTCACGGATACAAGGAAACTCTGGAACAGTTATATTATAGTTAGAAAAAATACACTGTACCGAACGAACATTATCTCACATACAATCAATTTAAACATTTAAATTGATTATAATTTTGCTAAAATATTAACACGAGTACTGGTTGTGCTGCTAAAGTTTCAGTGTTCCCTCTAAGGAAAATATTGCTACAGTTCTACCGGACCCTGTATTAAAATCCTTGGGGTTTTTCCTTTCCCAGCAAGACTGGCTCCACAAAACCACAAAGATCCTGGAATTCATTTAGGCTACCCCGGGGTTTGGGTGTCCCTGGTCAGGCACCTGTGAGGAGCTCAGCACTGGCACAGCCAGGGAATGCTCGTGGAACCCGGCCTGGATGGAGGGAGGTAGGGAATGCACTTTGTCACCGGCAGTGGCCGCTCAGGAGGATTTGCTGCTGATTACTTGGTTTAAATGGGATTCGGCAGCAGGAATGAGCTGTGGTGGTGGTGACCAGGACCTGCTCCACGGGGAGGAGCAGGCTCTGACTGTTGCTCCTCACGAGGGCAAAGGCAGCAGCGGCTTTGCCGGAGGGAACTGGCAAGGCAAGACCCCGGAGTGCCGGAGAGCTGGGAGAGCCGGGGGTCTCCAAGGATGGAGCTGCCACCAAGGGGGTCAAGAAGTCAAGTTTCAGCTCCTCTGCTCAGTCCTCAGTGACACATGGCCTGGATCAGCTGCTGCACAGGCAGGGAAAGTCATCGGGGAAAGTTATCAGGGAAAGCCAGCAGGGAAAGCCGGCAGGGAAAGCTGGAAGGGAAAGCTGGAAGGGAAAGCTGGAAGGGAAAGCCGGCAGGGAAAGCCAGCAGGGAAAGCCGGCAGGGAAAGCTGGAAGGGAAAGCTGGAAGGGAAAGCCGGCAGGTGGCTGACAAGGACCCACTGGATTTTACATATTTTGTTTTTACAAGGCAGGAATTTTGCAGCTGAAACTCCAAACTGAGCCTCTTTCCTGGGTGCTTTTCACTGACTCTCTCCCCCCACCATTTCCAAACATGTGAGCCCACTCGGGAGGGACTTCAATGGCCTGTGAAGCCTTTCCAGTTCCCTGCCTGAATTCCTCATTTCTGGAGACTGCAGGGTGACACACATGTCCCCACCTGGGGTTCTGCTGCAGCTGACAGATGGTGGCTGCTCCCAGTATGAAAACACAAGTCCAATATTGCTCCTAATGGCCTTGGACTTTGCATCTGAGCCCCCCGCCCTTGGTGCCAGGGCTGAGCGGGAGGACGTGGCAGCAGTGCCAACCAGAAACTTCCCAATTCCCTGGTGAACAAACAGAACCACAACATGCCATATCCTGCTGATCACAGGCTATTCCCAGTTAGCAGCCAGCTACTGCTGAACTGGTTTCCAGTTTCAAACAGTAACTTTTTACACCCTTGACCAGAACTCATTGAAGAACAGAATTAATCTGGATATTGACCCTGACCCCGACCCACTGTGACCCCCCCCCCGTGCCTCTAAGCCAAGTTTGAAACACCTGTTTGGATATTTGTTTTGTACAGTAAATATATACAAAGAAAAGTAACACAGACACCACTTAACTTCCTTGTGAATTTGGCACTTTCCATGGAACATGGACTGGAAAGCTCCTCAGCAGGAGCCCAACCCTCCCCACCACCCACCCACCCTCGACAGATTCTGTGTTAGCTCCGGAAGAACGAGATAAATAACTCCTCAGAACGAGAGAAATAACTCCTCAGCTACTGTTTTCTAAGAGGAAAAGGTGTCCTGGGCTTTCCCAGCAGAGCCAGCACCCGGCACCAAGGCTTAGAGAGGGCATTTATTCATCTTCCCCACGTGTAGGTGATGTGGTAACAACCTTCCTTTCTTCTGGCTTAGAGGGAACACTGCTTTTAGAAACCCTGGGACAGGTAAGACAAGAACCAATACCACTGTACAGAATTCACTGCACAACGAGCTAATAAAGGGACCCAGCACTGACTGGCCACGGCAAGGAAATGGGACTGAATACATTTGGGATCGGCCGGATCCGGTGCTGCACCGTGGGACGCGGCCCCGGGGACGCCCCGGGCCCTCAGTACGCTGGCACTTGGTAACCTTTGGGGTTGGCCTCTAAGGTCTCAGTGAAGGGGGGGCTCTGGTAGGTCTCCGTGCTCTCGGTGCCGCTGCCCACGGGGTACCCGGGGTACGGCGCGCTCGGGTCCGCGGGGAACTGGTCGGTGGCAAAGAGCGACATGTCCGTGCCCAGGCGGTACCTCTGCAGGGCCCTCACTGCCAGCACCACCTGCGGGGGGAGCAGGAGGTCAGGGGGGGCAACCTGCATGGTCTCAGCATGCCACGACCCCCCCAGGACCCTGCATGGCCCCAGGACCCCGTGACCCCTCAGGACCTCACGTCCTCCCAGGACCTTGCACTCCCCCAGGACCCCACTTCCCTCCAGGATTCCACAACCCCCTCAGGATCTCACATTCCCCCATGATCCTGTGTCACTTCAGGACCCTGCCCTCAGGGTCCTCCAGGACCCCACATCCCCCCAGGACCCTGAGTTCCCCCAGGACCCCACTTCCCTCCAGGATCCCACAGTGCCCTCAGGATCTCGCATTCCCCCATGATCCTGTGTCACTTCAGGACCCTGCCCTCAGGGTCCTCCAGGACCCCACATCCCCCCAGGACCCTGAGTTCCCCCAGGACCCCACATTCCCAGCACTGAGCACGTGGCAGCATCCCAGGAAGCTGCTGCCCCACTCTGTTATAACCATGAGCTAATCCAGCCCAAAGCCCACCCTGTAACCCTAAAGGGGCCATTTCTGTGTGACAGGTTGACCCCAAAGCTGTGTCAGGGGTGGGGGTTGCAGCCTGGGCTCAAGACCCCTGGCTGTGCAGATTTGGCACTGCTGGCACCAATGAACCCCTGTGCTGTGGGGAGGGAAAACTGATGAGTGCCAGGCCAGGAAAATAGGTCAGTTCTGCCAAGACTCCTTCACCCTCTTCCAGGTTGCCAGAATTGAGGTCACAAAGGGTGGGAAATGTGGGCGGCAGAGCCGCGAGTGCTCGCTCTGATTTCAGGAGGTTTCATTAACAATTTCAATTAGTTTATACATGACAGGCTCAGGAGGGGGAAAAAATGCCTGTAGACACTGAGAATGGCTTCCCAACCATCCTGGCCATCCTCTGGGATGGTAACAGGGGAGTGGTGTCCCCGCTGCCCACCTGGGGTGAGAGCAGATGCTGAGGGGATGCCCTGGGGGCTGCACTCAACGGGCACTCAGGCAACACAGGGATGGAGAAGAGCTGTGGGGAGCTGGGATTAAGAGAGATTTATTTGGATAATCATAAATCAGGGAGCAGTTGAATTGGTGAGGAACTGGAGCCAGGCTGCTGCTGGAAAACCTCGGGCTGGCTTTTGCCCCAATTCCCTTAAGGCAAAATGGAATTAGGGCACATCCTGGGGCTCTCTGCCCAGGAAAAACTGGAGGAGTGGAGGTGACACGGAGCTGTCCTGGCTTCTCCACACATAGCCTGTGGAGCAGGAGCCCCCTGAGTGGCACAGGCCCCCACTACATGTGGGGTCCAGCAGCTGTAGGAAAGGGGCTCTGGGAGACGTTCCCCTGCCCCTGTGGGCCCTGGGGATGCACAAAGCCAAAAACAGGGAGCACAGTGGGTTTCTACAAGCCCCTGCCTCTTGGTGGACAGCAGAGGGGCCAGCCTGGCTTGTCCCAGGGAGCTGATGAGCCTGAGAGCTCCCAAAATCCCCCTGCCATCCCACGAAACCAGCTCAGAGCAGTGACCTGCTCCTGGGGACTGGTTGGCCTCTAACGAGGCCCCGAAATCAGGGCAGCTCGTGGCTGGTGACACGTTCTCAACGGGAACACAACTTTCCAGGTGCAGGAGAAGGGGAAGCCTGGAATTACCCAGAGAGAGGGGCTGAGCTGACGCTTCCTGGGTAAGAAACCACCAGTTTCATCTGTGGAAGGCCCACAGTTCCCTCAGTGCAGCCCCTCAGTGCCCACCAGGATTCACTTCTCCAAACCCTCCCCAGATTCCTCCTCCAGCCTGGTGCTGGGCCCCAAGGAGGTTTTGTGTCTGCCCCAAGGAGGTTTTGTGTCTGCCCCGAGGAGGTTTTGTGTCTGCCCTGCCCCGCTCAGCTGGGGCTGCACTCACCCAGATGATGATGGAGAAGAAGGAGAAGGTGATGGCTGCCCGTGCAGCATCAGCCCCCTGTGCAAAGGCCCTGGTCAGCGTCGTCCGCTGCCACTGGTTGGCCAGGAAGCAGAAGGCCACAAACCACAGGAAGGCCAGGAAACCTGGAAGAGAACAGAGCTGGTCAGTGCTGTCACCTCCTCTCCTGCAAGGACCCCACCTGCTGCTGCAAAGGGTATATTTAATGGGATATTGGGAAGAAATCCCTCCCTGTGAGGGTGGGCAGGCCCTGGCACAGGTTGCCCAGAGAAGCTGTGGCTGCCCCATCCCTGCAAGTGTCCAAGGCCAGGTTGGAAGGGGCTTGGAGCAACCTGGGCTAGTGGGAGATGTCCCTGCCCTTGACAGGGGGTGGAACTGGATGAGCTTTAAGGTCTCTTCCAAGCCAAACCATTCCATAATCCTGTGATTCTGTGACACACATGACAGCTCTGCTCCTCTCTGCAGAGAATCCCTCTGGGGCTGTGGAACTGAGCAAAAATACTCTGGTGATTATTCCTTACTGGAACCAAAGCTGGCTGAGCAAGATATGGCTGCAGCTCCCCTAATTCAATCACCAGCCAGAAGCTCTGCCAGATGCCAAGGAGCTCAGCAAACAGTCAAGAAACAAGCCAAGAGCACACAGCCTAAGGAGCAGGGATGCTTTCCAGAGCTGGGAGGAGGAGCTGCACAACCTGGAGCCTCCCATGATGCTGTTTTAAGGGTCTTCAGCTTTCCTGAGGTCGCCCCACCCTCCAATTTGGATGTCAGTGCATGTGTGGATGCTGGGAATTCTGATCTGATGCTGATTCCTGGTGCTGATTCCACCCAGCACCTTCCCAAGGATCATCAGCACATCAGTATGAGCAGCCACACTGCCAGTCCCCTGGGGCTGCTGGCTGTCTGACTGCAGGGAGAGGAAGAACCTTCCTTTATTCCCCTTTATTTCCCTTTATTCCCTTTTATCTTACCAGTTGTCCCTAAGTAGGATATAAAATGCACGTGAGCATCCCCACCCAGTGCTGGAGTCACAGGGCCCACTGCCTTTAACTCACAGTTTGCTCCTAATTGCAGTTTAAGGAGCCACATTCTTTGTCTCCTTCTCCTGCATGGCTGGGCCTGGGGCTTCCCAACCATCCACACTTCCATCAGCCTGGTCAGGAAACTGCCCTCACAGCAAGGATCAGCCAGGCTTTCCCTTTCCAAAGCACAGACATTTCACCAGAAATGTCCTGTCACCAAACTACCAAAGCTCTGCCTCTGCACTTTCACTTCCCCTTAGGCTGATGGCTTGTTGTCAGTGACCTCTGGGATTTATTCCTTAAAGGTCCTCAGGGTCAGAGATGTTTTCTGCTCCCCAGCTCTGTTACAACAGGGCTTTACCAGCAGCTGTTCCCTGCTACGGGAAGCAGATCCAACCCCTAAATTTGGACACAAGGAGATGCACACCCCAGAGATGGTGCTGGCTGGTGTGAGATGAGTCTGGGTCCCCAGTGCCATCACAGCCCATCTGTCCCTGGTGTCACCCGAGGGCTTTCAGGAGTTACAATGACATCATGCACATTCCCGACCGTGCACCGGCTGTGCCGGGTACTGCAGCTGCCAAATTCCTCCGCAGCACCGAGGTGGGGGAGACCCGACCCTCCTCATCCTGAAACCACCAGCCAGCGTCGTGTCCCTGGGGTTGCTTCTCCTGCCACCCATGTGGACTTCCCAGAGGTTTGGTGATGCAGAGACGAGCCTTTCCCCTCCACATCAGCTCTGCCTGCAGCCCCGAGAGGAGGAGGATTCCCTGCAGTGCCACGGGAAGGCAGGAATTGCTGCCGATGCAGGAGATGGGGTCAGGCACAGAGAGCATCTCCAGAAACACAAGCCAGCTGTGGTTCAAAGTTTGGAGGACTGACACAGATTTTAAACCCCCCCAAGGAGGGCTGAGCTGGCAGTGACGTGGTGAGGCTGCACGTGCCAGCCCCAGCTCCAGCTGCTCCAGCAGCAGCTCCACAACCTCCAGCACACAGGAGAAATGGAAAACGCCAGGAGGCACCACAAAAGCCAGGAGATAATTATCATTTTAGGATCTGCAGACAACAGACTGCAAACACCAGGAAAGATGTGTTACCACCCTAATCCCAGCCTGGACCCAAGCAAACCCCTGTCTACAGGAGCTGCTGGAAGGGCAGCTGGAAGAGAAAGTTGCAAATGCTGTTTGCAGTGTGGTGGCCCTGCCTGAACCCCTGTCTGTGTCCCAGTACTACCACCCAGTTATTTCCCAGGTGCATTTTAGGAAGAAATTCTTCCCTGTGAGGGTGGGGAGGCCCTGGCACAGGTTGCCCAGAGAAGCTGTGGCTGCCCCATCCCTGGAAGTGTCCAAGGCCAGGTTGGACAGGGCTTGGAGCAACCTGGGCTAGTGGGAGGTGTCCCTGCCCATGGCAGGGGGTGGCACTGGATGGGCTTTAAGATCCCTTCCAACCCAAACCATTCCAGGCTTCCATGATACTCTCATTCCCCCAGCCAGTGGATGCATGACAAGGACCAAGGAGAAATGAGGCAGAGATGGAGAGCAGTGCCAGTTCCCACATCCCTGGCAGGGAGCAAAGGGCTGCCAGGAGGTGGAAGGCAGGGAGGGAGGATTGCAGCCTCACTCTGCCACACGCAGCAGCAGCCAGGAGATGGATGTGATGTTCTCCTTCTGCTTGAATCCAAGGGTTTCAGGCACTGAGCCCCACGGAAGGGGCTGTAAATATTCCCTAACAAGGGCTGGACGCCGGTGCTCCAGCACCACGGAAATGAGCTCTCCAGCAAGGAGAGAACACCCTCAGTGACAGGCCAGCACAGGGAGGTGATGATGGATGCTCTCATCTGGGACAGAGAGCCACCAGCGACGCCTGTGCTGGATAAATCACCTTCAGACTTTGCTGACATGAGAGCCTGGGAATGGGGAACATCAGCTGCCAGCAGAGCCAGGCAGCTCCCGCAGCAGCCGAGCAGAGGATGTTCTCTCCCAGCTCAAGGCATCCTGCCTGCTCCTGTTTGCACAGATCAGCCTCAGGTCCAGGGGCTCCAGAGGGCACAGAAGGTCCACGCCAGCCCTGGGGGTCCCAGCCCCCCTGCCCACAGGGAGGGGGGCCAGAGGGGTGCAGAAACTGCTTCTGCTCCGCTCCAAACACATGCACAGAGTGAAACCAGACTCAGCACGACTGATGAAACCACCTTTTCATGAGCCAGAAGTTGATGTGGGAGGGTAAAACCCCCATCTGGTCTCTGACGTGACCATCAAGCCTCACTTCTCTGTGTGGCCTCACCAAAGCCAGCTCAGAAATGTCTCCAGCTGCAGCAGTGACACAGACAAGTGGTTCTGCCTCCAAGCCACCACATGCAGCTTCCTCACCGCTGCCCCTGAGCTCATGGTTGGGTGGGACAAGGCCCCTGCCACCCCTGTTCTCCCTGAACGAGGCACTGAAGTTGTGTCAGGCCGTGGGGGGAGAGGGGAGGACTCGGGAGTGGAGCTGCAGGGCCCAGCTCTGACCCCCTGGAGCCAGAGCCGCCCCTCCCTCAGCCCGCAGAGGTACCTGAGAAGCCGAGGTCCAGCAGCACGGCCCGTTTGCGGTCCTTGACGCTGCTGATCTGCTGGAAGTACAGGTCCACGATGAAGAAGAAGATGCAGCCGAAGAAGGCGATGATGCCGACGGCGATGCCGTAGCTGCAGGCGCTCTCATTCTCGTTGAAGATGCAGAGCAGCTCGGAGCTCTGGCTGTCCTTGTTCACGTAGCACTCGTTCACAATGGAGCCAAACACCACGATGGAGAAGATCTGCAGAAGGAAGGAGGAAACACAGCTTGCTGCTGTTTACATTTACCTCCCTTTTCCAACAGCAACATAACTGGATTCAGTCCTGTCACTGACTCCATGGCAACATGGCATTTGTGAGACGCATCCTGACTCCCGTCTGGTTGGTGGCTCCAGCCAGAGGGCTGGTGGATGGTAACTGGTGGTCCTCCCCTGTGAGCCTGCCTGCCTTTCAGTGCCCTGCCTTGCAGAGTATTTTAAGGATGTTTCCTCCAGACAGGCTGGGGAGGGTAAAAATAAACAGACAGGGCAGGTCTCTGCACAGTCCTTGTGCTCATGCTGCTCTCCATCATCAGGCTGTTCTGGATAAACTCCCTGTGTCCCTGTGGAGCCAGGAGGAATGAAGTGCCAGAGGATAACTGAGCTCCTGAAGGCTGAGCCAGGGAAGGGCTGGATGCCTGGTGGAGGTGGGGAGCAGCTCACCTGGGCACAGGGGACAGGCTGCCCTGGGAATGACTGGGCAATTTTCCACCTGGCTTAGCAGGGGCTGGAGGGTGCAGGACCTGCCCCCGTTATCCAGTGACCTGCT